AGTACCACTAGGTTATTTACTTGTGTGTGTGTGTGTGTGTGTGTGTGTGTGTGTGTGTGTGTGTGTGTGTGTGTGTGTGTGTGTGTGTGTGTGTGTGTGTGTGGTCTCAGAGTTGTGTTAATGTTGTTACCATAATGACTAACTCTTGACATTTCTCCATCCCGCCGTTTCTGAAAAATGTTCTAATTTATTCGACTAGTACATCCTACCATTTTCTGTAATACTCTCTGTCTCTCTGTCTCTCTCACTAGTGAATAACATTTAAAAGCTATACAGTGTACACATCTGTACCTCTCTCACATGTTTTCTGCTTCCAACACTGTGACACTATACAAGCACTATATTCCACCAATTTTGTCTTTCTCTTTCAGATGACCTCATGAAGGATGTTTAGGTATGTGTGTGTCAGAGTGAACATTCGTGTGTATCCATCCATCCCTGGGGCTCACATCAAGTGCACTGGCTGCATCAGTGGACTTCATTATTGCTAATAGCCAGGGATTTACTCTTTTACTCCTAGTTTGTTCCATTGTTCATTAACCTCGGTTCATTTAGCTTTGGACCAACTGCCTGTCAGGGATGGAACTGTTTCACCCAAAGTCACCAGTCTCAAAGTAAAAGGGCATATTTTTTTGTTTGTTTTTTAAACTCATGTTAATCCTGCACTTACAGTTCTCCTCTGAAGTTTACATACATTCATCATGAGAATAAATCACTTATCATTTTGGTGATTTTTTTAAACTGTTCTTTTTCCAGGCTGGTACATCTTAAATATAAAGCTCAATAAGTTTTACATTTATTTTGGATTCTGGGTCCAAAGTATACACGCAGACTCAAATATATACATACCCTAACATTTGATTAAATGTCCCTTAAGAAGTTACACCTTGACCAGCTGCTTTTGGTAAAAAAAGAAAAAAAAAAGAAGCTTGTGGCATAAATATTAGACCACTCTTTTATGGTTTTCAGGGTTTTTAATCGCTTTTTATCGTTATTTTTTAATCGTTAACTCGGTTTCCTGTGCGTTATGAATAAATCTTTTTTTGGGAGGGTACTGGTACTGGTTTTATTTTGTTGTATTTATCTGCGACACCTTAAAGGCCGGTCCTTTAAAATATTGTCGGACATAAACCGGTCCGTGGCGCAAAAAATGTTGAGGACCGCTGGCTTAGGAACACCATGGAAATGGTGGAGGAAGAGGCGTAGGGAGATGCTGGTCTGGACATTGCTGCTTAGACTGTTGCCCCATAACATAGAACCAAAGAAATGGATGGATGGATGCGTGGATGGATGGATGCATGGATATCTAACATTAAATACAACAATGGACAAGGAAAAATGCTTTTTATAACAAGGAAAAAAGCAATTACTTGGAAATCTATTGCATGTGTTAAAAGTGAGAAAAGCTGGAGGCTAAAACAATAATAAACTCCTCTAAATGAGCGAAATCTCTCCATTATGAAGTTACATTCATCAGCGATTAATGACAGCCCAGCAGCATGCTGTGGCCTGTTGCTTTGGCTGGGTGTGTCATAACCCTTAGGCTGCAGTATCATCCAGCGAGGCCCTCCGTTGGTCAATCAAATGAGTTCATCCAAAGACAGATTCCTTTGCAGTGTACACAAAGAGCTATTTCTCCTTTCTACCCTGCAACTCTCATGATCAAAGATTTTAAAATACAGTAACTTTCCAGAGCTTGAAAATGCTGTTTTGGCATCTGATGAGGTTTTAAATTCACAAATCAACAAATTAAATTTTATGGATTTTATTTCATTTTTCACAATTATGTAGCTTTCTGTGTTCTGAATGTACATTTATGGTGTAACATCTTTAATGAAGTGCTTACTGGATGAACATGCAGTGGGTCTGTACAGTGTCTTTTATGCAATATTGCCTCTGGTGAGGCAAAGGTATGTACTGCTGCAGACCACAGAGCGTCCCTATAGCCACAATTCATTATGTTGGTTTAGAAATATTAGTATAATCTGAACTGAAACTGTAAAAACCTTCAGGCAACACACGCAGACCTTTATTATTTCACTTTATATTACTATTAAACAAATCTGTGGGGAAATAATAAAGAAGTTGCCGCATGTACTGTGCTACAGTACAGTCACTTTGCACTGGCAGTGCTTCAAGTTGTAAGGATGCGTTGGCCATTCTTGCTCCCGGCAAATTTGTACTTCACAGTTAAAAAAAGTCACATGGCCCAAAGCCATGACTCGTAAATGTATTTAGTGCCTGCATTTGGTAACTGCAGCACAGTTACAATCAATTTAAAACACTGAAAAGCTGAAGTTACGGTTGTCTGAACGAGACAGGAATATGTTGTGAGACTGTTTTTAAAGGTAAAGCATGCATGTACTTACAACTGACTCTTTGTCTATCTCTTACCAGAACAGTACCAGCTGAATAACTCTGCTTATGGACCATTTGGACAAGGGCTTCCACAGCCTCACAGCAACCACAGCACAGTGGGACTGAACAAATACACCTCCCTCAAAGCTGTGGGTAAGTCTGACACAAATACATGCTAAATGATGCTTATTTCAACTGACATTGCAACCTTTACAGTACAAGTTAAGAGTACAGGAGCTGTCAGATGATGAAGGGTCCCTTTACTTCGTGGAAAGCAGATTTAATCTTAAAGAGCGGCCCCCCACCATGATCCCATTTAAGTAACATTAATCATCTAAATGTTACTAAATGATTGACGTAAACTGGACTTCACAGGAGATTTACTTCCCCATGGTACCACGTCATGCAGACAAGCATGAGCTATTGCAGTAAGGCCTTTGTGTGATTTGATTCAAAGAAACGTCACTGTACAGGAATATTTTAGGAAGATCTGACCCCACAGACCTAGTCATTGCTAAGGACAGAGCTCTATGATATATGGAGTGCAGGTAATACAGATATGATTATTTTTATTTCAACATAAAATGTGTAGCTAGCTTACTTGCATGTACACTAAAAAGTTGCACAGTACTTTACATCTTTTTATTCCATGATTCACTTTATAACCAAAAGTATAAAGTCTTCCATTCAAATCATTTAATTCAGGTCTTCCAATGACTTGAATGGGCACAGGTGTATAAAATCAATCACCTAGACATGCTGACTGCTTCTACGAACAAGTAATCGATCGCTCCCAGGAGGTCAGTGAGTTCCAGCATGGTACCGTGATAGGATTTCAGCTAATAATATCCAGTCATGACATTTCTTTGCTACTAAATATTCCACAGTAAATCGTTATTGGTATTATAATAAAGTGGAAGCAAATGGGAATGACAGCAATTCAGTCAAAAAGTGACAGGCCATGTAAAATCACAGAGCAGTGTCAGCGAATGCTGAGGAGTACAGTGGGCAGAAGTCACCAACTTTCTTCATAGTCAGTCGCCAAGGTCCTCCAAACTTCATGTGGCCAAGCTCAAGAACAGTTCGTTGAGAGCTTCATGGAAGAGGTTTTTGTGGCCGAGCAACTTATGTCACCAAGTGCAATGCCAAGTATTGGATGCAGTGGTGTAAAGCACGCCACTACTGGATTCAGGAGCAGTGCAGACATGGTCACTGGAGTGACAAATCACACTTCTCAGTCTGGAAATCCAATGGATGAGTCTAGGTTTGGCCGTTTGCAGGAGAACGGGACTTGTCTAACTGCACTGTGTCAAGTGTAACGTTTGGTGGAGGAGGGATTACGGTGTGGGGTTTTCAGGAGGAAAGACATTTTGGACGAGTTAGGCTCGGGTCAGCATACCAAGACAGAACACCTTTGGGATGAATTAGAGCGGAGACTGCAAGCCAGACCTTCTCGTCCGACATCAGTTTCTCATCGTACAAATGTGTTTCTGGATGAATGATCAAAAATTCCCATAAACACACTGCTAAACCTTGCTGGAAACATTCCCAGAAGAGTTGCAGCTGTTGTAGCTGCAAAGAGTGTGCATACATCATATGGATTACGAATGGAATGTCACTCAAATTCATATGCGTGTTAAGGCAGACAAGTGAATACTTTGGCAATATAGCGCACATACAGTTTCTTAACTTACTGTATAATGTCTAAATTTTATATTGACCTCAAATACAAAATCAAAACAGGTAAAATCTGAAGCCTATATTTGTAAAAGATAGGTTGAAAGTAGTCTGAAGCTAAAGTGTACTACCTCCCTGTGAGTCAAAATAGTTTTCAGTATCACAAATGGGCACATTAATCAACTA